GGCACTCTGGCATTTAGAGGACAGGGAGAAAAGGAGGAGGCTGAGAAGCAGCAGCCAGTGAGATCAGTGGAGAGCTGAGAGAGTGGCAGACCAAAGCGATGCGAAAACGCATCTCAGGAAGGAGGGGTGAGTTCCTGCATCACGTGTGCTGATTAAGAAATTAATATGAAGACAGTGGATGTGACCCCAGGATTTAAAAATGTGAAATAGGCCACTGATCGTGACAAGGGCAAGTATGAAGACAGGCTGATCGGGTGCGTTCAGGAGAGACAAGGCTCAGAGCAGGAGGGACGGGAGACCGCAGGTGGGAGCAGCTCGCTGAGGACTGGTCCATCAGGTGCCAGGCTCTGTGCCAGGAGATAAAAATAGATGCTGAGCCAGACTGGCTGCCGGCCTTTGAAGAACCCACAGTCATTGTAGAAAAGAGATGATTAAATAAATCATTGTGAAACTCCATGAGAAGTGGTAGAATAAAGGTATAGACAGGGAGCTCTAGGAGCACAGAGGAAGGTGATTACGTCTCTCTGCGGTGAAGACATCTGAACTCAGGCTGCAGTAAGGTCAGGTTTCTAGGAGGGGAGAAGGAGGAAGGGCATTCGCTCGCGTTTCCAAGAGCAAAGACCATTTTTCATCCTTTCTATCATACTTTCCAGCTACCAAAGAGGCTGGCCCACAGCAGATGCTCAGTCTATATTTGCTGGATGATTTGTGAGATCCAGTGAAAGGAATTTGCAAGAAGCAGAGTTGCACCAGAAACATTACAGTAATTTTGAACATAGCAGCGAGGATGGAGAAGGGAGACGGTTTAAAGTGTGTTTTAGAATATACAGATCTATCTGGAGGGGAGCAGGGGTGTTGCAGATCATTTGAGCACTCACACTTTGGCTGGCCGGGTTAGTCAAGGGCAGGTACTTTGCGTTCATGAATTCTTTGTATTCTCAGTGCCTAGGGAAGTGCGTGGTACTTGATCGCAGGATTGACGGAATGCTACTGCCTGTGAGGAAGGCTGTGAGAGCGGGGATGACGTATGAGTGTTGGGGGGCAGGATGAGAGTGAGACTGGAGAAGATACTGGGAAAATTACCATTAGATGCTGGACTTATGAAAAGAGGAGAGAGAGAGGAAGAGAAAGAAATGATGGAGATAGAGATAATAGAGATAATAGAGATAGAGAGAGATCTGAACCAGATATGTGGGTTTTAAGTTACCAGTTTTTAGGTGATATCCAAATGTATGGAATTATCTGACTTTCCCAAGGAGAACATCTAGAGCGGGAAGTCATCTGCGCGGGAATGCCAGGAAATGGCACCGCAGGTGGAGGAAGGGGCACGTACAGGAGATGGCAAAGGAGCCCACAGGGATGTGGGGATCAAATGAGAGTGGACGGTTTTGTAGCCACATAGGGAGAAGGTCTTGCGAAGGAAGAAGAATCAACCTAATTAGTGTCTTCAGCAGAGTGTGGCATAAACATAGGTCAGATTTGTCTATTAAGAAGGCACTAGAAATTTTATCGAGCAGATTGGGTGGAAAGATGCAGGCTAATAAAACCAGATGGGGATGGGTTGAAGGGTTGAGAAGTGAATGCAAAGGGCAGAAGTAAAGGCTGTGAAGTGGATGACTCTTTCAAGAAGTGGACACATTTTTCTCTGAGTATACGAAAAGAAAAAAGGCAAGTATTGATGGTTTGGGGTAGGAGATTAGTCTTTAATAAACTGGCAAAGACTTGGATTCATGTGGACTCTTTCAACTGAAAGAAAAACATTTAACATACAAAGGAGAAGGAGTAACATTCTGGAGGTGGTGAAAAGGAATGGAACCCACAGATCAAGAAAACATCGTCTTGGAGGAAGCCCGGGGTCCTTTTCTTCCGGCGAGAGAGACAAGCAGACAGATAGGAGGAAGGATAAGAGAGGCAGGGACTGGAAATGAGGAAATTCACTCATGATATCCTCAGTTTGGGGAGATAAGGAAAGAGAAGATAAGGTCTCTGAGACCGAGAGGAGAAGGAACAGTGGTGAGCTCAAAGGAGAGCGGTGAAGCTTTAAAACCAAGATCTTACGGAGATTGGAAAGACAACTTTCAATGCTACATTGTGCTACATCCTTCATAGCTCCCAGGACCTGGCGAATGCATGGGGAGGGAGTGGAATCAGCAGGGCGGAGATGGTGGAGAGACAAGACCTGGGGAATGAGTGTGCCTGAGAGAGAGACACTGAAGTGACTGACTGGGGAGTATGGGAGGAAAAGAGAATGAACACAGGACAAGGCTGATAAAGTTGGAGGAGGAGAAAAGTTAGAGGGCTGACTACACAGAGGAGTATAAGAAGGAGCTTGATTCCAGGTCACCTGCAAAGTGGAGCTTCTGCCTGGGGACCTCAGAAACACAGCTCACATTTGACAGGTGTGATGTCTCCATGCGCACTATTACCTCGTGTTTGGGAGATCTTTCCTCATGGGGTCCAGTGAGCCCCTTGAGCTCCAGTTTCACCTGCTCTGAAACACATCCATTTTCCTCTTTGGGGTGCTTCTCCCTGGACCCCTCAAAGGGAATTTTACTAATGCCATGTGGTCTATCTTTTAAGTCAGAGCATTTCAATGATTTTCCTCCAATTTTGTGAAAATATCTTTCTCGTTCCTTATCTAGAATTCTATATTGTATAAATGTTCTCTAATTGTTTTTTATTATTTTGCATGGGGTCTTTTCACTTTCATGATTTGATGGCATGTTAATTGAACATCACATTCCCTTGTCTGTATAGCTCCTTCCCTGTGGCCTGCTGCTGGCACGTGGCAGGGCATTTAGTAAATGTTAACACGAAGCTGAATTATCTACTGAGGAGATCTCTACTAGTGTTTAAACTAAATTAATGCCAACATTATCATTAATGATGAAAAGTATTGGCTTGATGATGAAATAATTCATTAAGTAACTTAGCAAAATTCTTTGACTCTCTACTTTGTGCCAGGCTCTACATTAAACACTGGGAGTGAAAAGAGACTGTCCCCATATTTCTAGCGTCAGGGAGTCCACGGTTGTACAGAGGGCACAGGGACGTACATAAAATTGTGGCACGGTACGGGAAGGGACTGAGATGTTCCAGAAGGATCCAGTTACACAGAGTAGAGATGGAATCTCTCAGGCTGGGCTTAGCAGAGGTGATAAGATTTGAATTGGGCCACGGAAGACAAATAGAACTCCAGCAGACAGGGAGGGGAGAGAACACACTGGGCAGTCAGAAGAGACCACCCACGGGCATGAAAACTGGAGAGCACTGTGGACTTTGAGGACACCAGGGTGACGCGCCTTTGGGGGCGTGGCAGGAAGTCAAGCCAGAAAGGTAGGTGGGGGCCAGGCTGAATGCCCATCTGAAGAATGGCAGCCCTGGCCTCCAAAACTTTAGCCACAAAAATATTTCATCAGTCTTAACTGGAACACGAGGGAAACAGACAACAGCCCAGCAGGCCTGGTTGGGAGTGGGGAGATCAGAGATACATTTGCTCAGCCTCACCTCCCAAGCATATGATGTGATGAGCGAAGGGCCTCAGAGGACCCCTAAAACTCTGAGGGGTAATTTGTAAAACACTGCTGTGGCAATTTGGGAAGAAGTGGATGAATATTAAAAGCAGTGGGGGACTGTGCTCAGGTAGACCAGTGGTTTAGAAAGGTAAGAGGCAGGAGGGCTTTGAACATATCAGAAGAGAAGAAACACAGTCACAGGTGAGGGAGGAGTCCAGCCTGGCCTGGCCTAGGGCTGTGGGTGGGGGTAGAAAGAACATGGGAAATTCAAGAACTCATTACAGCTCTTTACAGGTGGAATCCACATTAACTAGAGACTGGTCTAGGGGACCAATCAGAGAGAGAATCAGGGGGAAAACCGAAGGGCTTTGGGAACCCTTGTCCGTGGATTGGAGTGGTTGGTGCCACAGAGCCCTACTTATAACAGAGGGAAACTCAGGCGGGACAGAGCTGAAGCCATGACCTTCTAAACCTCTAGGATATAAAGGGATGGGGACCTGCCGCGGAAAAAATGAGTAGTCAATTATTTACAAATTAGCCTTGTTCCACCGCTGGGGTAGGGAAAGGCCATGCCAAGTGCTGACAGGGCTGGGATGGGGCTGGTTCACACATGCTTTGCTGGAGGCACTGTAATTTGGAACAGTATTTTTGGAAAGCAATTTGCATACCATTGAATGATAAAAATGTTCAAGCCATGTGACCTAGTGATTCTACATGTGGGATTTTGCCCTAAGGAAATAGTTCAAAAGAATAAAAAGCCTATATTCATCCATCCAAATGTCAAATAATTAATTAAACAATTAGAAAAAATACATTGCACTATGTATGTTCCAGGAACTCGGCTAGGCGAACGAACATGTTCTCTGTGTGGCAATGTTTATATAGTAAAGAAGAGTAAACAACCTAAATTATTAAAAATGCCACAGTGGTTTCATATGCTCTGAGACAGCCATGTGACAGACTTATGCTTTAATGCCATATGACACAAGCAGAAGCTTCACAATGACCTGCTTGCTGCTGGAGTTAAGAGCACATTCTCTTGCATATGCTGCCCGGGCTTGAATTCTGGCCACACCGTGCCCTGGCCCCTGAGCTTGGCAAGTTCATCAGGACTTCCAAGGCTCGGCGTCTTTAACAGGAAGGTGGGTATAACAAGAATACCGCTTCATGGGACTGCTGTTGAGATTAAACGTGCAAAGTGCTGAGCACAATTCCTAGCATGCGGGTGCTCAGTAAAAGTGACTTGTTTTTTAAATACATAAAAATGTGTGTCAATAGAAAAAGCCTGTCAGAGACTGCCCCAATTTCTAGCCCCAGGGAATATTGCAGGTGATTCATCCCGTCTATTTTGTTTAGTATCGTTTCCCTAAAACATTTGAAGTCATAGGCAATACAGAAATTTGAGAAATCGGCAAAGCATTTTGGCCTGTCAGTTCATCCAGAGGAAGTCAGAGTGATGGGCGGGTCCTGTTTTTCTCTTCCCAGCTGTGTTTGGCCAGCGTTTGGATGAGACCGTGGCCTATGAGCAGAAATTTGGCCCCCACCTGGTGCCCATCCTCATAGAGAAGTGTGCAGAGTTCATCCTTGAGCACGGCTTGAATGAAGAGGGCATCTTCCGACTGCCTGGGCAGGACAACCTGGTGAAGCAGCTCAGAGATGCGTTTGATGCAGGCGAGAGACCCTCCTTTGACAGGTATGCTGCCTTCACTTTGCCCTCCCCTCTGCCCTATTTGGGTAAGAGGACCTTTCTCTTCCAGTTGAGCTATGGGACTCACACAGACTCTCCCAAGAACCCTGGTTTGCAACAGAAAGAGCCTTTAGTTTTGCTCATAGTTCAGAATTTGGGAGCCAGGAGCACGGTTAAGAGAGCATGGCGATCACTTACCTGAGGGGCGATGTGAGCTAGAAGGAGAACCTGCCGGGCAGTCAGGAGATGTTTGGGATGTAGGGGAAGGGAAGTGCAGAGTGGGGGACAAAGACAGGTCCTAGCTCCAGGCCCAGCTTTTGGGGCAGATGAGGGGCTGAGTTGCCTGTACAATAGACTAGAAGTGGTGGAAAACACACAATGTCTAGATCCAGGGGCTCCAATGGTCTTCCTCAGTTTTCCTGAATTGGCCAGAACCAGGACTTGTTAATGTGGGAGAACACAGTACTATCCAACTCTGAGCTAAGTTCTGAGTGCTTCTGGAGGGAGTGCATACTAACAGGTTGGCAGCCTGGTGTTCTTCCGGCATCTCCTCCATGGAGGTTGCCCAGCCCTGTTTGGGGCATATCAGGTATAGGGACATTTATGCCTGCCATTCCTGTCCCACCCACCTCCTCCAGCCTCCCAGCTGAGGTTCCCTTGTCTGCAGTGCTCAGCCCACAACCACCACCCATGTATTGCACACGCTCTGCCTGTTGTGCAGTATTGGCCTTGGTTGCTGCATGCACTTGTCCTGCACTTGTATTCTTTCCAAATCAGCAGCCCGCAAACCAAGATTTAGCAAGATTGGCCCGAACTCTATCTATTTTCCAAAGGTTGAAATTCTTCACAAACGTATTTAGGACTGAGGAGCAGGGCTGGTCCTGGGGGGAGGATGAATAACTGGGTGTCATGCGTGTGGACAGTCTCACTGTCATCTCTCCCTCACCTCTCACTCCAAACCCCAACATTTCCATTCTCCCTCTGAAGGATCTCTAAGACCTATATGATTCCATTGTCATGGCCACCGTCTTAGTTTGGACCACCATGGGCCTGTCTTTGCTGCCCTCGGCATGCAATCGGTTAATTTAGCAAGGGTGCTATATTTCAATAGGAAAGCAATGGGTGGAGTTGTTACTGGAACTATACCAGACCATGGGCATGAAATTTAAGGACCTTTCAACAGCACCATAAATTGTTTTTAATTATCAGGCACCTGTTTAATTAAGCTCAACACCTTTATATTCAGTTTTCATCTTTTGTTTTTAATTAGCTTTGAGTTAATCAAAAGATAGAGGTGTGTTGTTGCAAAAGCAATGGGAAGTTAGCCAGGAGGCACAGAGGTGATTTCAGGGGGTTGCCAAATATCTTCCTAGGCTTGAGCTTATGCATCTATAAAATCAGCTCGGGTGGTAGAGTCAGAGTCTTTGACTCCTGAAGTATTTGGGGCCGGAAGGAGGAAAGCTATCACACATCTCCACCGCCGGAACGGAGGAGCCCACACATCCGGAAATAGGCAAGGTTCCTCAGGGTCCTCCCAGGACTGCCTCTTGGATCCACATGACCCTTGCGGGTACTCATCTAGACCCTCTACATTGGTTGGTTGTGTGATTTCACCACGAGTTCCCCAAAATTGCCTCACTAGAATGAAGAAAAACAAAAAGGAACTTTTATTTGGTAGATTCGGGTACAGGTGTGTCTGGCTCTCATTAAAGATAATAATATGAATTTAAACATCTGTTTGTCCAGCCTCTGCTAGCCTGGATACTACCTAGCTGATGCACTCCCGGTACACAAACACACACAGACATTCTGCATTATAAGATCAGGGCAGGGTGGGCAGAGCCATCTGAGAGGCCTTGGCTAACCTCTGGTAGACCAGGGGTTGAACTCAAAAGCCACCTGGCTCCTGTTTTACTCTTAGTCTTTGATGTAAACAACTATTTAAGGATGTTCCATTGGGTTGGAGGATCAGCAAAGGCAGGAAATATAACAAGGACGTCTGAGTCAGCCCTGTCCAGTGGGGCACAGATGGTAAACCAAAAATGTATGGACATAACCGTATAATTTCCACTGTTAAGTGCTGAAAATGAAAATAGATGGTACTATGATAATTCAGAACAGGGGCTTTTGACATGGTCTGGTGGATTTACAAACGCTCCCAAGAAAATGACATTTCCGCTGAGACACAGAAACAGCATGGGGAGCTAGCCCTGCGAGGCGGCCTCATCCTCCCTGGCAAAATGAGTCAGGCAGCTTTCTGTGCATTTGCATGTTCTACGGTGATTTATGTAGCTAACCGTGCGCTCTGACAGTAGCAAGGTATCTGTACTGCATCTGTGGTTATCACCTCTTTCTCTTCTAATGTTGGCTATTTTTTGCTGTCTTAGTTTCTCCTGATTAAACCGTCTAGTAGTTTGTCTGGTATTATGATGGTTTCTTTTCAAAAGATTCTGTTTTCTTGACATATCATCCATGCTGTTTTCCTCATTTCGGATTCTTTATGTGCTCTGTTCCTTCCATGGGTGTGCTTTGAGAACGGGGGCTGAGCCACGAGAGGGACAGTGCACTGGAGGATGGAACCCTGGGGCAGGAGGCCACAGGAGGCTGAGCGGAATCCTGGTGAAGAAACATTGCTCTGAAAACGTGGAGTGGAAGGAAGGGAGGGGCTAGAGGGATGCAGGCACATTTGGATAGTAGATTTGAGGGGTTTGGGGGACTAATTGGATATGAGGGGGGAGAGCCCGAAGACCCTGGGTTCTCACTAAGACCTGGGTAGACTGTGGTGCAGGGACCTTAGGAGAATGCCACTCCTGTGAGGTGTCCGCTGGTTGGTTGTCTTTCTGACACTTTCTTGGGAACTTCTTGTGTACTCTGTCAAGAGGGTTGTACCCTGGGTATTTTTAGGCAGTGACTCAGCAAGGAAGTCTTTTCCTGAATCTCCACCCCCTGATTTCCTGAGGGCAGCCATGGAGCAGACAGACCTGTTCTGAGGTACAGAGTTCACAGGCTGCAAAGGGGTGGGGGGGGGGGGGGGGGCTCAGAAGGCAGCTCCAGCCACTGGCTGTCACAAACCAATTTTATAAAATTTACACAAAATGCCGAGACAGCTTCATAGTCCAGTCCTGGCCTTCTCGCTCCTGCTGCTTCCTCCAATGCCTCTCTTCTCCTCCTCTTGTCCAATCTACCTTCCTGTCTCTCACCCAGGAGGTATTTCCACCCAGCACAGTCTATAATCCCAGTTGCTGAAAAAAGGAGACACTGATTATCTGAACCTCTTACCACATCACAGCTTTTGAAATACTACCAGGACTGTCTTTTATGAACACCAGCTTTTTGATATGAGATAAATCAATATTTCTTCGCTAATGATTTTCAAGTATATGGTAGATTCAGACTTATTTTCTCTATGGAATAAATGCAACAGCTCTATAAACAGGGGTTAGCAGACTTTTGAAAGGGCCACATAGGAAGTATTTATGTTTTGTGGGCTAGATGACCTCTGCTGCAACTACTCAACTCTGCTCTTATCTGAACTCAGCCGAAGGCTTACAAATATGAACAAGCATAGCTGTGTTCCTGTAGCACTTTATTTATGGATGCTGAAATTCAAATTTCATGTAATTTTCACATGTGAAATATTCTTCTCTTGAGTTATTTTTCCAACCATTAAAAGATGCAATCTATTCTTAGCTTACCGGCTGTAGAATATAGGCAGTGGGCCAGGTTTGGCTCCTGGGCCATGGTGTGTCATCCCCTGCATCATAGTGTGTCGACCCCTGCTCTAAACCCGTGAAGGTGAGCTGAAGAATCCATGTCTCTCTCCGCTAATCAGGAGATCAAAAGAACTTTGTCTCAGTTCCTATAGCAGGCCTCCTTCCTCTGCCCTCCACCCTCCAGGCTGATTCGCATGCTGCCTGCCCCGTGCTGTAACTCCTCGTCACTCTGCCGATCTTGTCTGAAGAGTCCCCTATAGCTCCCCAACTCTGTGTTAAGTGTCCCTTTCCACATTTCCATACTATCCCAGGTCCCGAACTTCCCTTGTCATGGTAGTAACCACACAGTATTGTAATGACTTGCTAACATTTGAGTTTGCACAGCTCTGTGGTTCAGTGAGGCGAGGGGTCCTGTGTGTCCTTTGGCTCACTGCTGAAAGCCCAGTGCCTGACATAGTATACTGCACCGAGTAGGTTCTTTCACTGCTTATTGATGGAATGAATGAATGCATAAATATCTAATAAATCCCAGCACTATTTTAAGGCTCTGAGGGATGAAATAGATCAACGGACCATGGATGCAAAGCAGTTCTCACACGAAGAATGAGACACTAGGTACAGAATGCTAAATTGGGAGGTGCTAAGGCACATGGAGAAAGAAGAAAACAATGAAGATTAAACTGTTGAAGGTTTGGTGAAAAAGTAAGCCTTGAAATTTCCTTTGAGGCAGTTGGGCAGAATAGATAAAGTAAACAGTGTTGGGAGTTATTCATAATTCCATACAGGGAATGAGCAAAAATGTTTTGGTCGGATAAACCTTTATCAGAATTTACTCCTCTGCAAGGCTCCCCTTTAGAACCTGATACTCTATTCAGTAGGTCACCAGGGGCAAGGTGAGGAGACTTCTGGGATTCTGCTTCCAAAGAGCATTGCTTATTTTCTTCCAGAGATACAGATGTGCACACGGTGGCCTCCCTGTTAAAGCTCTACCTCCGAGACCTCCCAGAGCCGGTGGTGCCCTGGAAACAGTATGAGGGGTTCCTGCTCTGCGGGCAGCTCATGAATGCAGACGAGGCAAAGGTCGGTATCTCATGAGAGCTGGGTTTCCTGCTTGGAAAGAAGGTGACGGTTACGGAACACTACTCTGGTAGGGAAGCAGTGGGTCAGGGAGTCCATACTTTTTGGTGAGATACTTGGTCCAACTGGAACTTCCTTGGCAGCATAAGGCAAATGAAGCCAATCGTGGTGACAGCCTTCACGGGATGTGACAATCTAATAACAAATTGGACCATAATCAAACACCCCCAGGTCACTTTAAATTTGAGAAGGAAGATGCATCTGAGAAAGGTTTGAAGAAAAATGGCCTTGTTGAGACCCAATGGGACACCAGGTCAGCTAACCAGCTTGGAGAGCAGATGAGAGGTCAGAGCGAACTAGCTCCGTGATGATCATGAGTGTCAGATATGGACATGGAAAGAGTGCGTGACAGAGAGAGGAAGGACAGGGACCTTCTTTGTTCCTTTCAGCTCCAGCTGCCTGTAGTCTGTAGCTCCCTGTGATAACTCCTCTTCTCATAATTTTGTGTGTTTTTTTTCAATAACTTTTTACTTTGAAGTAACTATAAATTCACAAAATGTTGCAAAAAATAGTATGGAGAGACTCGTTGTTTTTTGTAGTGTTACTTTTTAATTTGTTTGTTCTTATGCCTTCTTCCAAGAACCCTGAGGCAGGACTATCAGCAACTCATACTCACAATAATGGCATAATAAATGCTTGAGGTCAAGCACTCCGGTAACACTACCCAAGTGTTGCTTCTACACAGATACACCAGTTATGTTCCAGGGTGTCACTGCAGGCAAGTGAGCAGGCTCATTTACTGGTGTTAAAAATCTCTTTCCAGGCTCAGCAGGAGTTGAAGAAACAACTTTCCATTCTTCCTCGAGAAAACTACAGCCTTCTGAGCTACATCTGCAGGTAAGAGTCCCCTGTGTCAACTACACAGTTTTCAGTCACATCAGAAAGAAGTTCTTGGATAGAGAAGGAAAAAGGATCTCTGTGAACTCAGGCATTCTGGTTCAGCTCTTTGGAAGGTTAACTCTATTTACATAGCCCCGAGGTAGCTTCCTGTGTCCACAAGACAATTTAAAGGATCCCCTGAAAATCGGATTGGCACACAAAATGTACATACTTCGTCCTCAGGTCTTCCCCAGCACTGCCCAGAGTCCTGGGACATGCAACAATATATATATATATTTTTTTTTGACATTTTGTTCATATAGAGTGGGGGAGAGAGAGAGAAACATCGATGTGAAAGGGACACATCGAGTGGTTGCCACCCTCACAACCCAACCAGGGCCAGGGACAAACTGCAACCGAGGTACATGCCCTTAGTGGGAACCGAACCCGGGTCTCTCTGGACCGCAGGCCGACGCTCTAACCGCTGAGCCAAACCGTCCAGGGCAGAACTACAATCTTTATGATGTTTCTAGAATTTCTCCCATCATCCTTAGTGCCCCAGAGACATTCATTCCAGGCCACCCTTTCAATTCTCCTTTCTGAGGACGTGCTGTGTGTCTTCTATGTGGAGATATGTAGCGTGTGGATTGACCCACATCTGGCTGAGTTGGGAACCTGGATTTCCCTGCCAGGCAGAGTTGAAATTTATCTTAATTTTTAAAAAATAATTTGTAGTTTCCAGATTATAAAAAGTGATAGCTACTTGATTTGGAAAACAGGAAAATGCAACATACTGTCAATAAGAAATAAAAATTACCCACAATCTCCTCACACAGCAAAAATCACTATTAAGACCTGGGTGTGTTTCCATCTGGATGATTTTGTCTCTATGATAGATTTTTACATTCATCAATATAAATGTATTGGAACAATTTTTATACCAAATTGGAATTATATATCTATAATATACACATAGATGTAGATATATAAATAGTTGTTTTCTGCTTTCTTTTTTGGCTTAATGTTCCATTGTGAGCATTGCCTCTGTCATAAAATAGGATTATAAATAACTTAATTATAGTCCGTAAAGTTTCCTCATCTGGATACATCAGTATTTATTTGATAATTTCTCTGTATTTAGAATTTTATGTTGCTTCAACCTACCCATTTAAAAATAGGTTTTAGAAAAAGTATTTAGAAATTCCTGTGTCGATCTGTTTAGTTTTTCTTTCATTGTGAATCTGATAACTGCATGCCTCAAATAGGTAGGATTGTAGTAAAAACTAATTGCTAATTATTGAGCACCTGCTGATAATCTGAGGCGCTTGGTGTTGTAAGTGGAGGATGAGAGCTAGGAGGCACTGTGGATTCCTGTCTCTGAGAGTTTCTTCTCTGCAGACTTGGGCGGATAGGTGCTGAGAGCCTGGGAGATAAGCTTATAAAGGCAGGACAAGGAGAATCAAATAGCCATTTTGGTCTCTGTAGTCTCTTCTTAGCTCCCTGATCTGGATCCTGCCTTCTGCCGATGTGACTCCCCTCCCTGCTTCCAAGGCCACCACCGTAGCTGGGAAGGCCCCTCCTGGTTTCTGTTCTTCCTTGATCTTGAATCTTTCGGGGTGAAGCTAAACTCTTGTGGGAAGATCAAGTTGATCCCATTCCTGAGATCAGGAGGAGAGTTGGGATCCACGTCTGCAGTCTTGTGGGTACCCGGAAGTGCTTCCTTCTGGCCACATCCCGTCTCTCACCCTGAGATTTCCTGGCTGTGCACAGGTTCCTCCATGAAATCCAGCTGAACTGTGCTGTTAACAAGATGAGCGTGGATAATCTGGCCACTGTGATTGGTGTGAATCTCATCAGGTCAAAGGTAGAAGACCCTGCTGTGATAATGAGAGGTATGGCTTGTCCTGTGGCAAAACAGATACAGAGGAACTGACAACCGTCACAACACTGGCCCTTGTGTTTGTGCACTGATCTGCAATCTGCCATAAATTTTCAGCGAATTATCTTGTCTGAATTACAAATAGCCCTGTGAAGTAGGCAGAGCAGGAATTATGTCCATTTTGCCGCTCACAGCAGAGGTTAAAGATTTACCTAGTTGTCACACAGTGCATACAATAGGAATAGGCCAGCACAAAAAAACAGTTAGCTGGTGTTCCTTAATCTTTTATTATGTTTAAATACCCTTCACCAGAGAGAACAAACGAGTTTCATTTTATAAGCCAGCTCACAAAAAGGCTACTTGTAAAGCTGTGTTGAAAAGCTTGAGGCAGTGTCTTGAGTTGGTGAGCACGAGTCCTGCCGTAGAATATGATGTCTGCGTGGATTTGGGGAGGCAATGAGCCTGGCACATAGTCACTGTGTGTGCAACGAGGAACTGAATGTGGTATTGAAGACCACATTAGGAGAAACAGATGTCTTAATTTTCTCTGTTGTTAGATTGCTAATTTTCTGATTAAAATCTGATCCAGTGGAGTGTGAGCTGAAAATCACCCCCTTTCACCCCAAACCACATCCTTCTTCTACCCTATCCCTTTCACCTCAGTTTCCTACCCCAAGCAATTAAGAAGAGTCCTATGAGGACCAACATGAGGTCTTTTGGGGCCCTGTGGTTTTAGAGCCACTGCACAGACATCCCATAGGTAGAGGCCGTTGAGGACTGCCTGCCTCCTGCCCCATGGTCCAACACTAAAAATCTTTTTTTTTTTCTTTCAGGGACTCCTCAAACCCAAAGAGTGATGACCATGATGATCAGAGATCATGAAGTCCTCTTCCCCAAGTCCAAAGATGCACCTCTGTCATCCCCACCCCCCAAAAATGACCCCAAGAAACCTCCAGTGGCTCGGAGCTCTGTGGGCTGGGATGCCTCTGAAGACCCCCCAATTTCTAGGACAGACAGTTTCAATAACACGGTAAGGTGCAGAGAGCCTTCTACCTTCCACCTGACTCTTCCTTTAATCCGGGCCATTTCGTTTAAGAGCTGCTCTGGATGGCAATCCGGGGCGTTAGGGATGATGCCGTGGCAGTGGGTACAGATGGCACAGACTCATCTGAATGCATCTTGAAAACTTGGCCTCTTTCAAAATCTAGTCCCTGTTTGCATCCTGGAGGTGGAATTAGTGACATGTGTGCCGATCATCAGATGACTGAGCAATGGGTCTCTTCACTAAAGCCCACCCCACAGGGGAACACTTAGAAACACAGTCCAGGGACGTTCAATGGGGGAAAAGATATACCACCTTGTAAATGTTTTAGTGAGGGTTGTTAAAAATTGTGGGTCAAAGTCCAAAGAGAACTGGTTTCCTGCCAACCCATGAAACGTGATTTCTTTCTCAGAGTATGTGATGTGTTCGTGTAATATTTCTCATTCCCTGATAAACTGTCTCAGCAATGTCAACCCCCTCATGTGTACTGAAGGCTTGGAGCTCACGTTCCCAAAGTCAGAAAACTCTGCAGACACTGAAATGTAGATTGTTTGAGGGCAACAGTTTACAAAGGTCAAATATTTTTATATATTTACAAAAACATTTTTTTAGAAAGAACATATGAACTTTATATAGAAGCCTGATTCCTTATGTGTGACCAAGAAATAAATTTAAAATTTCAGGTCGACCTGGTAACATAAGTTACCTAGTACTTTTCATCCTGAGGATGATTATAAAAGACTGAAAAAAAAATGTAGGGAGTAGTAGTAGTGGTGGTGATGTTTCTTAGGTGAAGTCTGGACACAGTGCATCTTACTAACACTCAAAAATTAAAATATTCAGAAATTCTCATATCTCATACAATGGAATCATCCTAGTAATTCTTGAGACTAGTCATTGTGCTCATTTGACAGTAACAGTGTGGGCAGCTATGGGCAGGCACTATGCTGGGAAATTTAAACAGATCACCTCTGGAGTCCTCAATATAACGCTGTAGGGCAGAATTTTTCATGCACATTTTATGTGTGAGGACCTGAGTCTCTGTGAGGTTGACCAGATGGCCCAAGGTGGCAGCACTAGCATGTTATGGAACAAGATTGAGATTTAGTTCTCATCTCAAGGCCCAGGTACTTCTGACTCCAGATGAGGTTGCAGAACAGTTCATTAGCTAGAAGAGTTAGAAGGAGAGTTTTAGCTCCGATTTTCTGATTTTACATTTAAGGCTCATTTTTTTTCTTTCTTTCCCTTTCTTTTTAATTTCACTAAAATAAATATATACTATATACACACGTGGTTGAAAAAGAAAAAGAGCTACATTGAGAAGTCCTGCTCCTTCTCTCTCTCCATCCACTCCATCTTCCCCTGCTTTTATTAGTTTCTTATTTATCTTTCCAGTGTTCCTTTATGTAAACATAAGCAGATATGAATGTAAATTGTTATTTACCTCACTTTTCACACAAACTGTAACATAATCTCTGTCTCACTCTCTCTCCACACACACACACACACACACGTGCACACATACTCCCCTCTGTATCTTGAATTTTTCCACTTAATAATATATACTAGAAAACTTTTCATGTCGATACATAAACAGCTACCTCATATGATCTTATGTTTTTGCAAATGCATAATGTTTCATTCTGGATTTGTACCATAATCTACTTACCCAGCCCCTATAGATAAGCAGGTGGCTTTCATTCCTTTGTACTACAAATAAGGCTACAATGAATAACCCTGACCATGCTTCATTTTGTTTTTATCCCAGGTGCATATATTTCTGGGCTAAATTCCCGGAACTGGGATTGCTGAGTCAGAAAGTAAACAGATTTGTAATATGTAATTTTGATTAAAGTTATCAAATGAAGTTTGTGCCACTTTGTACTTCTACCAGTGATGTATAAAATAACCTGTTTCCCTACAGTTTCACCAGCAGAGATGTGTTGTCAAACTTGGTGTTTTTTTTGTGGGGGGGGGGTCCTTTTGATAGGTGAGAACTAATTTCAGTAATTTTAATTTGAGTTTCTCCTATTAAAAGAGTCCAAACATCTTTTCCTATGTGTAAAGGCCAGCTGCAGTTTCCTCTGTGAACTGTCTTATCTTGTCCTTTGCCCGTTGATCTTTTTCTTCTCAGTTGGTTATTGATGGGTTATTGGTCTCCTTCTCCTTCTCCTTCTCCTTCTCCTTCTCCTTCTCCTTCTCCTTCTCCTTCTTCTTCTTCATCCTCACCCGAGGACACTTTTCTGTTTATTTTCTAGATAGAAGGGAGAGAGAGAGAGAGATAAACATTGATGTGAGAGAGACACATGGATTGGTTGCTTCCCCCCTGACCCCAACTGGGGCCGAGATTGAACCTGCAACCCTGTTACGTGCCGTTGACCAAGAATCAAACCCATGACCATTTGATCTGCAGGCCAATGGCTCTAACCACTGTGCAAGACTGGCCAGGGTGGTTATTGGTGTTTTTCTTCTCAATTTTTACAAACTTTATATATTAGAGAGAGTAGCCTGTTGTTAGTGATTGCATCACAAATATTTTTGCCAGCTTGTCATTTCTTATTTGATTTAGCATGTGGTGATTTCTTTGTTTTAATTTTGTTCTTTTTCCTTTGGGGGGGTCATGCCATGCAGGTTGAATTTATCAAACTTTTCTTTTAAGGCTTCTGGATTTTGACTCATAGTTAGAAAAACCTCCCCATTCTAGTTATTAAACAAAACCAAAAACCCATTCTGGACTCTTTTACCACAACCATACAAGGCTTTTAGTCAGGGCTTCACTTTTAGAGTATGAGTTCCTTCAAGTACAATGTCCCTTTAGAAAAAAATGCCAGTCAGATAATCCACTAATGTGACAAATGAACAGATGGTCTTCTAGTGAAGAGTTTCATATGTGTGCAGCCCAGAGATACTTTATCAACTCTTGAATGCTCTTCTTGGGAACATGACACATGTAGGAAAAACCCATGTAACTTTCGTGGCCATATTTTCTAGGCCAGTGACTCGGAAGCAGCCAGCCCCACTGAGCAACAGCCCAGCGATGCGTGTCTGGACAACAGCAGCAAAGCCCCCATGGAAAAGCCAGGAGACTGGAAGCTGCAATCACGAAAAAGGACTCAGACGCTCCCTAATCGGAAATGCTTCTTGACATCAGCTTTTCAAGGTGCCAACAGCAAAGTGGAGATCTTCAAAAATGAGTTCTGGTCCTCTTCTTCAGAGGCGAAGGCAGGGGAAGGGCATAGGAGAACAATGTCTCAAGGTCTGCCAAACTTTTCTGACTCCCAGAGGACTTCCACCTACGATAACATCCCTACCCTGCCAGGGTCCCCTGGGAAGGAAGCAGGTGCACTTTCTTCCCATGCCTGTGACCCCAAAAGAGATACTCTTTTGAAATCAAACTCTGAAACCAGGCCTGAGACAAAGAACTCTGGAGGAGAGGAACTTGAATCTTTGCAAAGGATGGTCCAAGAGCTGAAAAAGGAAATAGAAACACAGAAACAAATGTATGAGGAACAAATTAAAAAGTAAGTCACATACAGAAGGGGAGCCACTAGGCTTCCATCTGTATTTATTTTAAAAATTTTCTCTTTGTTTTTGTTTTTGTTTTTTTTTTTTATCCTCACCCGAGGACATTTCTTCCATTTTATGTTTAGATAGAGTGGGAGGAAGAGAGAGAGAGAGAAACATCGATGAGAGAGAACATCCATTGGTCGCCTCCTGCGTGCCCTCCCCTGGGGATTTGGCCCACGGCCTGGGCATGTGCCCTGACTGGGAATTGAACCGGCGACCTCTTGGTGCATGGGTCAATGCTCAACCACTGAGCCATACCGGCTGCACAAGGCTTCCATCTTTAGAAGCAATAGGGATTGTTCTCATCTGCCAAAGAAGTGACCTTACAAACCCTCAGTTTCCAGAATATGGTCATCTATAGCAGTTTGGCCTAAAGGAAAAGAGTAAAGGGAGTGATGAGATGACTAAATGAGTGAAAACTCAAAGCTTTAAATTAAATTCCTGGAAAGTTAGGTAGCTTAAAGAGCTTAATCAACTGTTTCCAAAAAGTGATTCTTTAAGGATCAACATGCCTTAATGAATTAAGAGGTACTTAACACTTTTTTCATACTAGTGTGATTTAATTCCATTTTGAAAACATTTATTGAGCACCTATTGTGTGCCGGGTGCCATCCCAGCTATTGGGGAATAGCAGTGAACAAAACAGACAAAAGCCCCTGTGCTAACAGGGCATTCCTTCTAGTGGGACCAGACAATACAAATCAGTAATGAAAATATATGCTATGCCAGATGGTGGAAAATGCCATGGAGAGACATAAAGCAGGACAGAAGGGTGGGGAACTCCAAAAGGGGGCTCCAATGCTAAATAGGGTGGTCAGGAAGGCCTCACTGAGCAGTGCAGGGGGCCAAAGCACAAATCCATCATTTGTAGAACTACAAGGCTCGTGTGACGCCTTGGCAGTGACCAAAGCATCCTGGAGAAGACCCACTGTGCCCTAACGTGAGTGTCTTCAACAGGGTGAGGAAAGAACTGGCTGCCAGGGAGGCGGCCACTCCTCCTGAATGGAACAGTCTTCTGATCCCACCGTCAGGGGCCTCCCACCCTCGGCAGAGGGAGAAGTAACCGTACTCGGTGCCTAAGCTTCATGCTTCAGACGCACGTTTTCACGTAATCCCCACAGCAGTCATTCAAAATAAGTAATATCCCCTATTTTACAGAAGAAATGGGGGGCTCAGGAAGGACAAGAAGGATTCCTAATCATTGGTGGGGTCGGGATTAGAATCTGGATCAACCAGCATCTGAGCCCACTCAGATCTTCCTTTCCACTGAAATCATTGGTCAGGATCTAGCGTAGTGTCTCCTTTGCGGTGTCTCCCGAAGCAAGAGGTATATGGAGGATTTGGAGAAGAAAATGAGATTTGCAATGGGTGTAACAGAAGGAACGAGACAAGTTTAGTTCTAAGAAGCCATCGGCAATGGGAGAGAAGGCTCAGAAGAGGGGCCACTACGTGCAGAACAGGGCACAGCCCCTGAAGACAGAAGTCAGGCGTGGGCTCAGATGGGAGCTCAAGTCTCCATGTAAAATGGTCAGGCTTTGGGGGAGTAGGGAGGCAGCACCTCTCAGAATAAAATTCTGAAGCATATTCCCAATCACACAATCATCCCATAGGCCCGAAACTCCCTCTTTTGGCTTAAAAATGGCATGTGCACTATTATTCCTAAGAGCTAACCTCAGCACAGCTTGGCAGGTGGGCACCTGGCACTAGCCTAGGATTTTGGCCAGTAACAGTGAAAATCCCCTGAATCCAGGAACCCAACAGATTCTCCACCAGGAGCAGGCTTCAGGAGCGAGGGCGGGACAGCTGAACTGCTGCTCGCAAAGGGAAATTCCTGCACTTCAAATCTTGACCCCTAGGGGGCCTTAGCAAGAAGAGAAGGCACTGGTCCATGCTCACCACTGAAGCAGGACGAGAAGGCACTCCTGTAAAGGGTGCTGGGCATCTGTGGAATAGGGATGGGGCTTCAGCAGTCAATCAACATTTCCACTGAGCAGGCCTGAGGCAAGGTGCTGGGGAGATCTTACCTCTCCACTGAACTCACTGGTCAGGATCTAGCATAGTGTCTCATTTGAGATGACTCTTGAAGCAAGAGACATATGGAGAATTATACACATAATTAGACATGGTCCCTTCTTTCAAAGACTTATCTGGGGGAAGATATAAAATGTAAAATGACATGAACAGCAACAAAGAAGAGATGTCACAGGATGGTATATGACCGAACAGGGGCTCAGACATGCTCTGGGAATTCAGGTTTCCTAGGAAGGGCTAAGGTGGGGGTTGGGACATGAATACGTGGTACAGGTTGGGTGTGGGTCTTGTGATGTGAAAAGGAAAATGGACAGAGAAGGTTGTGAGCAAGGGTGACGGAGAAGTCTAGCGGTCATACCCAACTCTTTCACTCCTTTCTTTCCTTTCTTGTAGTCTTGAGAAGGAAAACTATGACGTCTGGGCTAAGGTGGTGAGGCTCAACGAAGAACTGGAGAAGGAGAAGAAGAAGTCTGCAGCCTTGGAAATCAGCCTCCGCAATGTCGAGCGCTCCCGGGAGGATGTTGAGAGGAGGAACAAAACCTTGGAAGAAGAAGTGAAGGAATTTGTCAAATCGATGAAGGAGCCCAAAGTCGATGCATGAGGATTCCAGGAGTGAAGTGGAAGTAGCCCACCAAGGCCCAACACTGCTCCCTTTCTCTTTGCTACCTGATGACTGGGAAGAAAAATTACTCCCTAAGAGGAGAAGACATTTGGGGGGAAAACATCACATTTCCCAGTAAATAAACAGTGGAATTTGCAGAAAGATAAGGGTAAGCGGAGACACACATGGACATTTATGACTGCCTGTGGCTGTATTCAAAAGAGTTGCATTAGTCCACTGTGGTCCCAGGCTGAGCGAAATGGAACCATCCTTGGCTGGTTGGCCATGTTCAATAGAGACACTTGAGGCAGGTCATATCCCAGGACCCAGGGAACAGGCTGCCCCCAACTGAGGCTGGACTGAGGCTTAGTTCTTTGTTTTCCGTGTGGAGCAACACCCCCAGTCAGATGGCTTGGGGCATCTCTGAGACACGGGGGCTGAAAACGGTCTTCAGCTTCTGAGTGCTCACCATGGTTTTGAGGGGCTGCCCCTGCTGAAGCCAGAGCCCCATTCTACCACTCCCACAATGATGGACCATCTCCAGGAGCTGGAAACTAAAAAAAGTACCAGACTAAGAGAAAATGGGCACCAAACTGTATTTATGAAAGTAAAATCAGTGAGAAAATTATAATCAAATAAAGCGAAAACAAAAACAAACAAAAAAACCCCCCAGGACTACTGATTCATACACCTTTGTGAGAGTTAGTAAAAGGCCCCCTCCCTGGAGAAGATGCACCCCTCTCTGGGCACACGGCTCGGTGAGTAGGCAGAGACTGGATTCTGGTCCTTACTTGCCTTTCGGTGGCCACAGTAGCATAGGGCAGACCCACACTAATGTGACTTCCTTAGAGACTGGTTAAGAGTTTAGATAGTAACAGTCATAATAATAATATTTTTTTCTGTTTCACCAAAATATAAGTGATTTCACCCTTTAAAGAGACATAAGAAACTAGATTGTTCTAGACAGCTGACTTTTTCTTCTACATTAAGCCTGCCTGGCAGAGGCCTGTGGCGAGGCCCCCGGCCTTGCAAGGTAGGATGGTAGAGTTGTTAATGGGTGTTCTAGTCAGGTGGGCTCCAAGCTGTTTTGATCATGTACCCCATTAGTAGAAAATATTTGAGCATTCACCCCCTAATGTAGGAATACTTATTTATAAATTACATACATGTCCTATTACCATATTGCTATGTCCTATATATTATAAAATACACACAGAACAGAAATGGGAAAATCGGACAGAAACAAATGTAAGTAGATGTTCTCAAATAGCTTTCAGCTCTGGAGACCACAGGCCCGATTTCCCAGCAGGTTTTACCTACACCAGTTTTGTGTGTGTCATCCCGTTGCTCCCATAAATTCACTTGAGCTCTTGAAGCCACATGGCTTAATCAATGACTTGAAATACATGGTTACCAGGGTGGCAGTTCAGCCTTCCCCCAGCATCTGTGTCTCCTCCATGTTCCCTTTTCTTCCTTTGTTTTCTCATTTTGTCCTCCTCCTCTCTTTGTGTTCTTCACCCTGGTTAGTTTCCCCGGGCCTGTGGCCTTGACCTAGAGTGAAAGGTACAGATGGGGGTGGGGCAGTGTTTCTCATCCTGCTACTAGGCCCTGCTCACCCACCCCAGCCCCTGAGGACCAGACTGGTGGAGGGTGAGGGCAACACCCAGGACACTCTCCCAGAGGCCTGCTTGCAGAAGTTCAGGAGGTGGGGGTAATGATTGGGAACAGTATTAAGTAAGCACTAAAACATTTTATATCCTGGAGTTTACTGCTCTTCTTTTTTTTTTAAATCCTCACCAGAGGACATTTTTCCTTTTTTTTTCAGATAGTGGGAGGGAGAAAGAGGGAAAGAGAGAGAGAGAGAGAGAAACATAGACGCGAAAGGGACACATCGAGTGGCTGCCACCCACACAACCCAACCGGGCCGGGGACAAACTGCAACCGAGGCACATGTCCTTAGCGGGAACCGAACCCCAGTCTCTCTGGTCCGCGGGCCGACGCTCTAACTGCTGAGCCGAACTGGCCAGGGCGAGTTTACTGCTCTGAAATTACAGAGTAGCAGACACGGAACACTTCCTGCACAGCGAACTTACACCGAGGAGTGTGTACGTTCCCTCCCGTGTTCTCCCACGGGTTCTTCGCACTGATTCTCTGGGTACTAAGACCTTGACTAAGGAAGTAGCTGGCATCACAATCCCAAAGGAAGCCCTGGAGTGTGTTTGGAGGCCCGGGTTCTAGGGCCTTGCTGGGTTTTGGGGTGAGAGCTCAGGCTGAGTGGGAGGGCCACGTTTAGTTCCCAGCTCCCTCCTGGTCTCGCGATGCCTCTGGTCCTGTCCCTTCCACCACGAGACAACAGAGCTGCCGTTCCAGCTTCAGAAGCTGGCGTGTCACTTCCTCTTCATGATCAAGAGGGAACCCTCTTGCTTACGGTGCCTCCTCCCATGAGAGGGGAACACAGGATAGAGTTTTTCCAGGACTCTAGGACCATGAGTCCAAGGAAAGGCCAGGAAAGAAGATCTGGGGTCTGGTGCTACTGTTCTCAAAAGGCTACACATGAGATGCATGACCAGGTGGCTACACCTGGACCAAGGTGCCAGTTTCTGCAAAGCAGAACCCAGACACTGACCTGTTCACTGGTGCTCTGTTGGGCCCTGGGACCCCCACCATCACATTTAAAGCTCTTCCATGGGCGATATCTACTAAATCTGCCTTGTTCCAGCCACCCACCCCCTCCACCTAACCCCTCTTCCACCCGCACAGAGACTGAGAGCCTAAAAAGGTCTGCAACCTGCACTTTATAAGCCCTCGCCCTCTTCCCACCCAAATTCTTCATTTCCCCCTCAACCTCAGTCATGGCTCATATTAGGCACCTTTCTCTTGAGTCCGAGGCAGATCTGACAGTTTTCTGCTGTGTGCACGGGAGAGGACACTTTGTATCAGGGGAGTGGCCGGGAAGATTCCTGCCTTGGTCTGTTCAGGTTGCTTTAACAAAATAACCCAGACTAGGTGGTATTTATTTGTCTGGAGCTTGGAAGCCTAAAATCAGGGCCAGGTGAGAGCTCTCTTCCGAGTTGCAGACTTTTCCTTGTATATTCACATGGTGGAAGGGGCTAGGGTTATAAAAACCCCTGGGATTTTATAAGTCACTAATCCCATTCATGAGGGCTCCACCCTTATGATTTATGTACCGCCCAAAGACCCTACCTCTTAATAGTATCCTCTTTGGGGGTAGGGAATTCTAAATTTGAATTTGAGGGTGGGGACAAACACTCAGACCATAGCAATTCCCCTTTGATGGGTTTTGGCCACTGTCTGAGGCCTGGAAAGACCCAGCGTGACATCACTAGTGCACAGCCTGCCACGGAGGATGTAAGCAATAAACATTTTTGTTGTTGTTGTTTTGACCAATTCCTTAAGCCCTGCTCAGAACCCACCTCTCAGGAAAGGGTGAAGCAGGAGGTTCTGAGGCAGCCCAAGGCAACCAACAGGGGGACAAGCTGAAGACAGGAGGGTGTGCCTCAAGGTCGTCATGATTCCACATTCCATAAACTTCCACATTCCACCACTTCCTCTGCACATGCCCTCAGGGGCCAGGCCGGGGCTGGCTGGAGGGCAGAGCGCTCACTCAGAGGCTTCCTCTGCAATTCGAGTGGGCTGCCTGTACAAGAATCCCGCAAAAGCCTTCGTCCTGCCGGAGAAGACTGGGTGGAGGGAAGTTCAAGGCTGCAGATCCAGCGGCTTCCAGGGGCTCAGGCTGGCATTGGGCCAGCCTCAGAGAGCACGGCTGAGTGACTTCAGACAAGGAATGAGCAGAGAATACCAACATGCATGCGCAGCGTCAACATCCCTTTTCTGTAGTGTTTGAGAACTGTCTTAGGATCACAGGGCAACAGCACCGGAAGACAGCCTGAGTGAGCCTGCCGCATCCAACCTGTTCATTTAACGGCCAGGGAGACTGAGGCCCAGACACCCAAGCTGAATTGCTGGTGCTCACGCAGCAATCAGGAAGAGAATTAAGTTTGGATGGGTTTTGAGGGCTCCTTTAACTCACCCGTCAGTGATTCTTGTGATTCTTGGCTTTTATCCAAGTGTTCTTGCCCCAGGATCATGATTTGAAACCCGTGGAACATCAGCTGCTGAGTGCTTCCCGAGTGTAGACCTGGGCTCATCATTTGGTCACAAGCAAGACCCACCGTCTATGATGCCATTTTCGCCTCCTTTGTATGACTGATGCTGTTCTAGGACTGGGGTTCAGTCCTGGCTGCACAATGGAATCACCTTCAGGAGCTTTAAAAAAATTCTGATGCTCAGATCCCACTCCTTATTAATTAAATAAGAATCTTGGAGGGTGGGAGGTGGCGCCTAAGATTTTTTTTCTTAAAAAACTTTCCTGTTAATTTTACTGTGCAGACAGTATTATTAAATACAGTTTTAAACCTGCTAAGTTTGGCTCAAGTCATGATTAATGATAATATTAAATCATGTATGCACTCACTCATTTACGATAAGAGATACCAGAGAGATAGGAAATGGATTTATATTATTTACCCATTTCACAAATGGGGAAAACTGAGCCTGATAATGTTACCAAGAAATCTCAGTATAATAGTCAGTAACCTAGTCATGAACAGATCGATCCATGCAATTTGAAAGCCGCTGGAATGGCTCACAGAACTCAGGCAACCCCTTTGCTCACTAAATTACCATTTATTGTGAGAGAATATACCTCAGGAAAGCCAGATGGAAGAGATATATAGGGCTAGATATGGGGAGAGGGGTGCAGGGCTTCGATGCTCTCCCACATCGCCTCCTGTTCACCAACCTCAAAGCTCTCTGAATCCCATCCTTTTGGGTTTTTATGAAGGCTTCCTTACACAGGTATGATGGGTTAAATCACTGACTGTTGGTTACTGAACTCAATCTTCAACCCCTCTCCACTGCCTGATAAATGACAAGGCCTAAGGCATAGACCACTGAATTGGCCCTAGTGGTTGCTATCCATGTTCTTTTTCTGGTATCCCCATTTAAATGGTTATTTTTATTTTTCACCTAATGTATAGTTTAATTCATATCACTTAAATGCATGTGTGAAATAGAAAGTCATAATTGTTTTAATGGTAATAATCGTTAACATTTATTGGGTGCCGAATATTGCCTGCCAGACAGTTCTAAGGGCTTTATTTATATTAACGGAGTTAATCCTCACAAACCCCACAGCTAGAGAGCAGTAGTCCGGTTTTATAGCCAAGTGACTTGCATCTGCTTTTGCTCCTGCCTTTTGCTGTGACTGCAAACTGTCTCACGTCCAGAGGGAAACTGTTGTCTGACAGCTTCTGGGGTTGGAGCTGGGCTTGGGGCACCTTAGGGCAAAGCTGACACTTCATACGATCCGCAGTAATTGGGTGAATTGCTCCAACACACTGCATTTGGCAAAGCAGTCTGCTTCCACATAGTAAGAGCGGAGCGTGGCCAACTGGAAACAGATTTACTGGAAACCAAAGCGAAGCGAGAAGGGAGGCGACAGCCTAAGTGGGGTCTGCACCTGACAGGAAAGGCAGTTCCACAGAGAGCACCCCCGAGGCGGAGCCCCTTCCTGGACCACTGAGCTGGAGATCGCAGCCGAGGCGGGCGGGGTGCGCAGTGGTCAGAAACCTGCGGAGGATGAGGAAGCAGAGGG